TGTCCTCGCAAAGTCGCCAAATCGCGCCCCGAAGGAGGCCTGTAGGGGCGATGGCGAGGATGAGCAGGGAGGGAGACGCAAGAGGACGGAGGATGGGAGGAGGGAGGAGGGGAGGAGGAGGAGGAAGAGGACGAGGAGGAGAGAGAGAGAGAGAGAGAGAGAGAGAGAGAGAGAGAAAGAGAGAGGAGAGAGAGAGAGAGAGGAATCCGACATTGTCGTTCCCTGACCTGCTGACGCCCCTCCCGACCTCTCAGAAGACGCACAGCAGGAAGAAAAGCGAGAACACGCCGATGACCTCCTGAAGGCGATCCCCAAGCCATGCACTCCTGTCCTGTCCTCGCCGCTTCGGCTGAGTGACGCGGGGGGATAGTTGGGGAAGAGGTGAGAAGCAGGTATTAGCCCTCCTCCTCCTCCTCCTCCTCCACCTCCTCCTCCACCTCCACCTCCTCCTCCTCCTCCTCCTCCTCCCTCCTCCTCCTCCTCCTCCTCCTCCTCCTCCTCCTCCTCCCATTGCTCCCTCGGCCGAGCCGAAGCGGCGCGCGGGAGAAAGATCCCGAGCGGGGGGCCGCCAGCGAGCTCTGCACGGCCACTGGGCGCCGGCGGAGGGCGAAGCACACGGGCGTGCCCCGCGGGCGCCAGAGCGGCTCCCGCCCGAGGCGCGCGCGCAAGCGCTCTCTCGGCCTGCCCGGCGCCGGATCCCCTCGTGGCCGCGGGAAGCTTGGGGAAACCTTAGGTCGGGCATGTCCCCCTACAGTTAGGTCGGGCCTGTCCCCCTGCAGCGGGATTTCGGGCGAACAATTTCAAAAAAATGCAGAAAGATGCCCGAAAATGCTCAAAAAGCAGTCCCTTGACTATTTTTTGACTATTTTTGAATTTTCCCCCTGTAGAGGGACAGGCCCGACTTAACCCTACAGAGTGATTTTGGACGAAAAATTAGAAATAGTAAAAACATACCCCATCATGGTCAAACAATGCTCAACAAATCGTCCCCTGACTATTTTTTTACTCTTTAGGAATACGTATTCCTCCTGTAGAGGGACACGCCCAACTCAAAGTAGACCCTGGTAGGCATCCGGAAGCTCCGCGAAAGCCATGAGGCATTGGAGGCACTCCTTATAGGGAACCCAGGCAACTCCGAAGGCAGGTGCGGGCCGGTGGGCATGTGCGCTGGCAGATGCACTGGCATGTGCGGGCCCGCGCGGTCATCCGCAGGGGCAATTCTCAGGCATGTACGTGCATGTGCCGCTGACAGATCTGCGATAATTGCACTCCTTCTGCATGTGCAGGCATGTGCGGGTATGCGCATCGGCATGTGCGGACATAATATGCACCAAGCGCAGCGCACATGACCCTGAAGATGCCCAAGCGCGCATGCACAATAGAACATCCAACCCAGAAAACCCGCACATGCCGGAGACGTGCCGGGCACATTCCGCGCACATGCCAGTGCAAAAGCGGCCGCACATACACCCACCCAGGGGTATAGAAACGAGTGCGGCGTAAGTATGACAATCAACAGGATGACGATGAGGAGGAACGAGAGGAGAAGCAGAAAGAGCAGGAACACGAGGACGATGAAGGACATGCGACTCTTTGCGGCCCCGTGGGTCCGAGCCTATCGCCGTCGCGTCGGCGTCGAAGCTCCCGTGGCCCGAGGGGAAAGGACATGCAAATTGGGCGACTCGTCAGATAGAGAAAGAGAAACAGAAAGAGAGAGAGAGAGAGGCAGAGAGATAGTGGGCACGAGGGTACGGCAATGCGACCAACGGCCTGCTGCAAGGAAGCACGAGATGCTACATGGGCAGTGGAGGAAAGCTCCTCGTCCTTCTTCTTCTTCTTCTCCTCCTTCTCGTCGTCGTCGTCCTCCTCCTCCTCCTCCTCATGCTGCTGCCGCTGCTCCTCCTCGTGCTCCTCTCCGGCTCTACGTTTCCCCTCCTCTCCGGCATCCCTGCCTTTTTTTGTTTGTCGTCCGCGCGAGCTCTGCTCCGGCGAGGTGGTGTTTACACCGCGCGGGAGCAGGCCTCGAATTAGACGGCGGCGCGAGGGACCTCCGCTAGCTCCGCCGCGGAGTGCGCGCCCCCTCCCCGAGCAGGCGGCCGAGACCACGAGGCTGCCCTGCTCCCCTTCCCCCCCCTCGACGCTCGGGGCGGCCGGCGGCGGACGCGGCACCCTGCGCCGGCCAGCCCGCATCCCCCAGCGTGCGAGAGCACCGAGACCGAGACTCGCCATCCGACGTTCGACGACGACCCTCTCCCCTCCCCTCCCCTCCCTCCCTCCCTCCCTTCCCCTCCCCCTCCCTCCCTCCCTTCCCCTCCCTCCTTCCACCTCGCTTCCCCTCCTTCTCCTCCTCCTCCTTCTCCTCCTCGTCCTCCTCCTCCATCTCCATCTCCATCTCCTCCTCCTCCTCTCCTCCTCCTCCTCCATCTCCTTCCTCCTCCTCCTCCTCCTCCTCCTCCTCCTCCTCCTCCTCCTACCTCCTCCTCCTCCTCCTCCTCCTCCTCCCCCCTCGCAGCCGCTCGCCTCCCTTCTCCCCTCTCGCGGGCCCTGCCTGCCTAACGGCTCTGCTCCTCCCCTCCCCTCCCCTCCCCTCCCCTCCCCTCTCCTCCTCGCCTCGCCTCTCCTCCTCGCCTTGCCTCCTCCCTCCCCTCTTTCTCCCCTCCCCTCCCCTCTCTTCCTCGCTTCGCCTCGCCCCCCCCCCCCACCCCACCAGGAAGCGACTAGGCACCGCCGACAGCCCCCCGATCCCCCCCCCCGCCCCCTCCCCCTCATCCGAGAATTCGGGAATGGGTGATGCGCCGCCGCATGACCCCCCTCCCCCTTGCCACAGCTAGAGGCCTCCTAAATGGGGTCGGAGAACCGCGCCGCATCGCCAATACATCGGCGATACATCGGCGATGCATCAGCGATGCATCGGCGATGCACCGGCGATGAGGCGTTAACGCCGGCGATGTATCGACGACGTCGGCGTGGAGAAAGGAGAAAATCGGGCTCCGCATCGAGCCGCATCGTCGATGCATCGGCGATGCGGCGCCGACCCCATCTACTCCGACCCCACCTAGGAGGTCTAGAACAACAGCGAACCAGTGCGGGGGAGTCGGAGGCGGCGACAAGGGGCGAATCCCACCAACCCTTTGGGGCGTGAGTGGTGTAACAGGTTTCCTCTTCCAGCCCTGGATGGGTTTATCACTGTGCCCTATAAATAGATCCCCCCTCCCCTAAGCGACCAGCAGCCAACCCAGACCAATGAGAACCCCCCCACCGTCCCCGGTAGAAACAATACAACATATACTTTGCCTCCACATCTGGGGCATACGCGGACACCCCGCGACCATTTGGCATTGGTTTCTAGCAGGGACGACAGGGGTGCCGCATATTGCTTGGTGCGCGCAGGCCAACCATCCCTCAAAAAAGAATACAACATACACTTTCGCGCCAAATCTGGAGCATGCGCAGGGCCCTCTTTTCTCTGAGCTCTCATCTGTCTCACGACTCCTGAAGATGTCACAATTTGTTAATTGGTGTCGGTGCTTTGTGCTCCCTAGAGGAGCCGCTTTTATCACAGAATGCTCGGTACTTCGCTTCAGGGGTATTCCAGATCCGGAACTCCTTGGGGCCAGGGCCCCAGGCCCCTGGGGCCCCTGTTGGTTCCCCTGTAGCTGGCGCAACTGGCGCGGCTGGAGCACGTGGCACAGTTGGCGCATGTGAAGCATGTGCCGCACCTGGCACGCTTGGGTCTCCAGGTTGCCTGGTGCACACCTAGTACCCGTGGTGCGCATGGCATGTGTGGAATTCCTAGGCGATCTGCTGACACTCGGGTGTCAACTTATGTGTTGGGAGGGCGGGTGGGAGTGAGCTAGACGGCATGCTATCTAGGAGGGTAGCTTGACCCCTTCCCCTGCCCCCTCCCCCTGGACCTGGAGGGGGGGAGCGATGTGCTAGAGGGTGGTTTGGGCTGAAAGTGACTCCAAGAGGGCCTCCGAGAGCCCAAGATGACCTTCAAGATGGCCCAAGACAGTGCAAGATCGCTCAAGATGGCTTCCAACATGCTCCAAGAGACCCCAAGACCAGTCCAAGACGGGTCCAAGTGGCCTCGGAGCCTCCCAAGGAGGCCCCAAGAGGCCAACATCCTACACACAACGACAGAGAAATCAACTATTCTAGCCTTCTCGCATTTTCGCTTTCGAGGGGCTCCCGAGGCCTCCTCCTCCTCCTCCTCCTCCTCCTCCTCCTCCTCCTCCTCCTCCTCCTCCTCCTCCTCCTCCTCCCCCCCCCTCCTCCCCCTCCTCCTCCTCCTCCTCCTCCTCCTCTCCTCCTCCTCTCTCCTCCTCCCCCTCCTCCTCCTCCTCCTCGTCCTCCTCCTCCTCCTCCTCTTACTCCGCCTCCCCCCCCCCTCCACCCTCCACCCCCCTCGTCCCCCTCCACCCTTCGCCCTCCTCCTCCCCTCCTCCTCCTCCTCCTCCTATCCTCCCTCCTCTCCTCCTCCGCCTCCTCTCCTCCCCTCCATCTCCCCCTCCTCCTCCTCCTCCCTCTCCTCCTCCTCCATCCTCCTCTTCCTCCTCCTCCTCCTCCTCCTCCTCTCCTCCTCCTGATCCTCCTCCTGATCCTCCTCCCTCCTCCTCCTCCTCCTCCTCCTCCTCCTCCTCCCCTATTTCTCCTGACACTCGTCACCCTCCACCTTCCATTCGCCCAACACGGGCGAGAACGAGGGAAGGGCAGCGGCATCGGTACCTCTCCCTTCTGCGAGAGCGTCCGCCAGAGGCCCGCCCGCGCCCCGGCTCAATTCGCCGCGCCGGGAAGCAGCCGCGGGCGCTCGACGCCCGCGGCGGACGCTGCCAGGGTCAGGTCGGGCATGTCCCCCTACATACAGGCGGCTTTTGGGCGAAAAATCAAAAGAGTCAAACAATATTCGAAGATGGCCTCTAAAAATACTCGAAACATCGTCCCTGGACTATTTTTTGGACTACTTCTGAAAATTCACCCTGTAGAGGGACGTGCCCGACTTAACTCAAGGGCCCGCGCCAACGTGCCTTCTCGGCGCGCAGCGTCCCGCGCGAGGGGCGCGCGGGGACGACGGCGGCGGCGGCCGAGTCGCCCTGCCAGGTCTCTTCGTGTGGCGGCGCGCGAGAGGGGGGGGAGGAAGGGCGGCTGGAGGAGCACGACACGGCCCGAAGGAGGGAGGGGGTGAGGAGGAGGAGGAGGAGGAGGAGGGAGGAGGAGGAGGAGGAGGAGCGGAGGAGGAGGAGGAGGAGGAGGAGGAGGAGGAGGAGGAGAGGAGGAGGAGGAGGAGGAGGAGGAGGAGGGAGGAGGAGGAGGAGGAGGAGGAGGAGGAGAGGAGGAGGAGGAGGAGGAGGAGGAGGAGGAGGAGGAGGAGGCGGAGGAGGAGGAGGAGGAGGAGGAGGGCGAAAGGTGGAGGGGGGCGAGGGGGGCGGAGGGGAGGGGGAGGAGGGGGAGGAGGAGGATAGGAGGAGGAGGAGGAGGAGGAGGCGAGGAGGAGGAGGAGGAGGAGGAGGAGGAGGAGGAGGAGGAGGAGGAGGCGGAGGAGGAGGAGGAGGAGGAGGAGGAGGAGGAGGAGGAGGAGGAGGAGGGAGGAGGAGGAGGAGGAGAGGAGGAGGAGGAGGAGGATGGGGGAGGAGGAGGAGGAGGAGGAGGAGGAGGAGGAGGAGGAGGAGGAGGAGGAGGAGGAGGAGGAGGAGGAGGAGGAGGAGGAGGAGGAGGAGAGGAGGGAGGGGAGGAGGAGGAGGGAGGAGGAGGAGGAGGAGGAGGAGGAGGAGGAGGAGGAGGAGGAGGAGGAGGAGGAGGAGGAGGAGGAGGAGGAGGAGGGGAGAAGGATGATGAATATGGTGATGAGTATGATGATGATGAAGAGGAGGAAGGAGGACTCGAGGACTCGAGAGCAGAGGGCACCGCGGTCGACTCCGCCGCCGCGGCCCCTGCGCCCGCGCACGCTGCGCGGGCTCTCAAGAGGTCGCGAGCCAGCCCCAGAGACAGGGCGAGCTCCACCTCACTGCCACTCCAGGGCAGAGTAGAGCAGCGGGGCAGCTGGGGGCAGCTGCCCCGTGAGGTCGCGAGCCAGCCCCAGAAACAGGGCGGGCCTCCACCTCACTGCCTCTCCAGGGCAGAGTATCTCTGCGGGGCCGAAGCCCCGAGCCGCGTACTCACCCACGTAGTCGCCGCTCCGCAGCCACACGTTGACGTCGCCCAGCTGCAACTCGTGGTGGCTTGCCGCCGTTGGGCGGCACCGTGCCATCTGGCCAGTTCTGGCCAGCCTTCGGGGGTAACCCTTGGCGTAGACGTCGGAGAACTGTCTGGCCACTCTGCGTGATCTGCTCTCTGCACTTCGCTGCCAGAAGGGATACACGCCCATGTCCTTCATCATTGTGTGACGCCACCGCTGCGCAATTCCAACGCCAGAACTGCCCATGAGCAACAGAAATCGAATGGCTCGGGTGGATCACTTTATCTTGAATTTCAATCATCTCATTGTTGGGTACTTGTACTGCATGCCCAGGATCAGCTCGATGTACTGCATACTGCCGTCCAATACAAACACTGGTTCTCAACCAATCAAAGAGACTATACTTGCCTGGAGTTTTCCAACACTCTTGGCAGACCCAACGTCCTTTCATTGTTTTCATATCATGTCCAGAAACTTCTTGTAGCTGGAGGCGCTGCTCACGTCGTAAGTGGAACGCTTTGTGCCGCTGCTGCTTGGGCCTGTCCAGCTTGGTTGGGTCCGCGTCCTTGCACATGTCGAAGATGATGGCGGCCGCACGACGCTGGACACGCATCAACAACGTTTCCACTTCAGTAAGCTGCTTGACCTCATCGCGTATATCGTTCATGGCCTCTTCAGCTCCACGTTGCGCAAGAGTATCTGCCATTGCATTTCCAAGGCTGATCTGGAAATCTTGTTTGGACTGCTTGATTGATTCATGGTCAAGATGAGATAAACATTTGATAATAACCACCTGATGTACCCCACCAGGCCGCTTCTTGATCATAGCACCGATACGCCCCCATCATTCCTTCAAGGCACCTTGAGGATGTTCATAAAAGCGCTGGGTCCAACCATTCACAACTTGCTGGCAGTCAGTGTAGATGGTAATCGGTCCTTTCGTCAGCGCCAAGGCCCAAAATAATCCCGCATGTTCTGCTGCAGGTGCACTCTGTTCTCCATCCACCGTGCCGTAGAAACCGATATGGTGGGTATCTGCAATGACGCCGTTGCTGATGTCGATCTGATCGTTCACATTGAGGACGTGCGTGACATAGCTTGGGGTCGTCATGTCCATTACCGTATCGCTATCCTCATAGTGCTCAGGAAACTCATCTTCGAGGGTGGGTGCCTGGTCGCGTGGGAGCTGTCGAAACTTCTCTTTAATTTCGGCGACGCTGTCAAACCAGTGTTGGACGTAAGCTTGTCTTTCCCATCCTTGGAGCGTGAGGTAGTAGTCATATACATCCTTGCGCCGCCTCTTGGAGGTGCGCCATCTGATGTCACAGAGATCTTTGGCGAGCTGGCTGCTGCTGCGGGTCTGGTACCGTGCTTTGAGAAACTGCAAGAGGCAGGCTTGTTCAGGTTGGCGTAGGAACTGCTTCATGTACGGCTCGCACCATAGTTTCCAGCTGTCGTGGTTGCGAACTTCGTTGTTATACATGAATACTGTCCAAGTCGCTGCCCAGACTCCGAGGTCATTCATCACATCCTTGTGCAGCTGCTCCGTGGTCTCGTCGGTCGGTACTTGCTTCACTTGGCCTCCCATTTCCGTGCGACCTGATGGGGTATTTTCGCCGAAGTCCAACGTGGCGTACGAAGATCCACCCGTGGGTATTGCGTCCAGCGGGCAGAGGTCCCGACCAGCACCCGAAGGGCTCCCCATCTGTGGTGTGCCGTCACTCTGGGCAAGGTTTTTTTCGCCGAAGTCCAACATGGCATACGAAGACCCACCCGTGGTTTGGACGCCCAGCGGGTGAGGGTCCCGAACAGCCTCAGAGAGGCTCCCCTGTTCCAAGAGTGCATCATGGCACCACAGTCGCTCTTGTCCTGGTCTATGTTCTGGCGGTCCCTGTCGTAGCTGAAGTGTAAGTCCCCATCCCACTCTGTTGATGCGCTTGTCATTGCTTGTGCCTGATCCATCCACGAAGGCAATCGCGCAGCATACGGGGTTGATGGTGACCAGCTCCTGCGAATATACTTTGGCTCCTGCCGTGGCCGTTGTCCAATGACTTCCATTCCATGATCCCCAAGCCGGCGCTGATGGGACTGGGTTGCGATGTTGAGGAAGTAGTCCGCGTAGCCAGAACGCCTCTGTGTCGGGGTCGTTATACATTTCTTCCAGTGCACGTTTGCACAGCGACTGTGACTTGACAACGGCCTCTATGTTCAAATTGTCATTCATTTCGCACTCGTAGATCCTGTGCTTGATCGTGTGAGCCGCTTTGGAACATCTTGGGCACTTGCCGTCAGTTTTGTAGCCAGCATCTTTGCACCGCTGCCCCGTCCATATTGCTCCACATGCCAGTGCTTCAAGCGCTCCAGCTTCTTGTACGCAATCAGCTTTGCGTAACTTCTGTAGTGTGCGCTTGAGCATCGTGGTGTCCATGCCGTGCTGCATGCCCTTGCCGTAGTAGTGGTCGGAGGCCTTGATCCATATCTGCGCCTCCATGTCCGCTGCGATGGTACGCATGACATCCTTAAAGTCCAGGGCCTGGTCATCTCGGAACTTCCACAACGTGCCTCTTGGATCTTCCCATTCATCAGGTCGGTGTGGCTTCCATCCCAACTGCTGTAAGGATAAGATAAGGGCGCCCATGGGTCCTGTGACTGAGTTCCAACGTCCACGTGGTTTCATCTTCTGGAATCTTTGTAGATTTTTGTACCATCCTTGACGTAGGCGCTCATGGGCAGGTGCTTCTTTTTGCCATGTCTGTATCCATTCCTTTATCTGGCGCTGGAGGCAGGCTGTGGCTGGTTCGTTCTCGCCGTAGAAAATGACGTTGATAGTTGACGTACACCTGCCACCGGTACTGAAGCCAGCCATATCTGCTGCCTGTGCTCGTGCGTCGCGTACTGCAGCTGGGCTGAGACCTGCGATAGGCCAATCATAGCTTTGTTTCGCCCGAAGGTTTGAGTTGAATAACATGGCCGTCCGGCGTCGCCACCGTCCTTTTTGCTTGCTGAAAATCTTGGCCCTTTTAGCTCTTTGTCTAGCCTGCTTGCATCTGGTAGTGCGCGTAGACGTGGTACGTTGGCGACCCAGAGCTGCATCAATACCCAAATCTTTGACGTACTTCGGTGTCTTGATGTTGATTCCTTTCTGCTTGAGCTGCTTCACGATGTGCTTCTTCGTGGTGATGCAGTTAGTGAGTAGGGCCGATTTCCCCGAGACTATTAACTTGGAGTCCAGACAGGCCTGCACTAAGGTGTTGACTGCGACGGGGAACTGCTGCTGGAATTCCTCAGCGCGTCCTTCTACACGTATATGGAGATCGTCAACAAACTCGCGTGCTAACGCAAGCGGCGCTGCAGTGTGGGTGATGTCCAATATGATGTACACCATAGCTCTTGCCGCGTGATTCGCTGCAGCACATCCAGCCACTATACCGTTCCATGGGCAAATTGGTTCAGCGTGGTCATGACAGGCTCGTATTACACGCGGTGATAAGTACAGCAGGAGGCTCATGTACAGGTTGACGGCTGGATAATTGAGTTGCATAGCACGTCTGATCAAGATGCTGAGGTCCACGCTGTCGTAGAATTTCTCCAGGTCAAGGTAGAAGGTGCCGTAGATCGATCCCTTGAGCTTCGCGCTGGTTTCATCAAGGGCCATTGATAAGAATGCTGCTCGTAATGCTGATGACCCCTGAATGGCAGCGTCCCAATAGCCTGCCTTTTCTGAACACCAGTCTTGCATCTCCGCTTTGGCCATCTTGCCCCAGAGCCTGACTGGAAACGGTAGTAATCCAATAGGGCGCTCTTCGCCCGCTGTGTTAGAACCAGCTTTGACCAATAAATGATGCCAAAGGTGATAAAACTGATGTGGCCAACATAAGTTGCGTTCGCATGAATTTAACACAAAGACGAGGCTGCGCTTCGCATCGTCGGGCAACGCCTTGATCTCTGGTGGTTGCCATTGGTTTGGGCCACGTGCTGTCGTCGGCCGGAATTTGGATAGCGCTGCTTCAAGATCTTGGATATCGTAATAATCTCGATGCAGTAAGTCGGCTTGAGCTGCTTGTTTGAGTTCTGCCATGGCCGCTTTCAACTGTTCGCTGCTGTTGTGCCTCTGCCACCGCGTTTGCCAGACTCCTGCTCGGCACTCCGTGGCCTCACGAAGTGCTCCCGTCTCGTCCTTGGTGATCGGGTCCACGGCAGTGTCTGGTAGATCTCGTCGTTCATGTTTGCTGATATATCTATGAGCCTCGCGCATATTACTTGATAGCGCCGTCCTCGTCCACTGGCCGACTTGCTCACGAACCTTTTTCCACATCAGAGAAACATGCCAATCCATTCGATGTCTTGTGGCTGCTGCTGCATCCTGCCACTCGGTGATATTCTCCGTGTGCGCGTCGGGGTCGGTGTCGTGGCCGAGGGGGCTGACGCGTTTAGCGAGAAGGGCCGCCTGCTCATCCAGGTAGTCGGTCTCCGCTACTTTGGTCTTTTCGGGCTTGTCGATCTGCGTGACTACAGTCTTGATGATGAGGCTGATGGCGTCCAAGTGGTGCTTGCTCTCTATCGGGTGCCTTTGGAGGAGCAGAACGCCGTCTCGGCAACGCTGATGGAGCGCCGTCCAGGGGATGCTGGTGTGCTGCTGCTCGTCCGCTTTAGTGTTACCTTTCGGCGTGCCTGCGATGTGCTGCGGGTAGGGTGCCTCCATGTAGCGTGTTGGCTGTCCACGTCTCGCTCGTGAGTGGATCGGTGCCTCCGTGGTGGTCGAGAGTGCCCGCTCCGCCGCATTCGCCCACTTGCCATGCAACTTACCCAGCAACTCACTCATGCGCGGGTCCTGCTTGTACGCTAGCGAATTCTGCACCCACAGCGGCGCGCCTCGGATTCGGCAAGATGCCTCCTCGTCTCGGCACTCGTCCCAGATATTCTGGTCGCATCGCATGGCCACAGTCTGCGTGTAGTACATGTCCAGGAGCTTGCTGTCCAAGAGGTCGTCTTCAAAGTACATGGCCATTTCGTTGTACTGGGTGCGGTCGCGCTGTTGCCGCTTGATACCTTTCTCTCTTTGAATTTCCGTCATGGGTATGGGGCGCTTGGCTGGGAGCATGGGCTTGCGGATAAGGATCGTCGACGGCTGGGCCCATAGCTCTATAGCGATGCCGATGCGTGGGGACCATGGTACCTCATGCTCGCCACGGATCTGCTTGAGTATCGGTCGAAAGTCTGGAGGGATGATGGCATAATCGATGAGGCGCCCCGTTCCACTGCTGCACGTGTAGCTAACGTGCTGAGGTACCACAGTTGATCCACCAAGAAGTCTTAGCCAAGGCGTCGCTTCAAACTCTTGTGGTGTATTGCTGAAGTCGCCACAAATTATCCAAGGTATGTTGCCCAAACTCTTAGTCAGCTGAAGTAAGTGCTTCATCTTACGGATATTCTCACCCGTGAAGCCGATGGATGCTGTGAGGTAGGCCGTGATCACTGCTATCTGCTGTCCTTTGAGCTGCCACTTCGCCATGGTGATGTCCTGGATATCCTTGGCGAACATGCTGTGGCCCTGCGCATCTGGCAGGTGTGCTCGCGTATCTAGATGACGTCGACGAAGGATGCATGTGCCTCCTAAAGTTCCCGTCTTGGATCTTGGCGATGGCCGCGCTGGAGTCCAAGTACCGTGAGAACGCCACCCGTACTGCATGAGTCGGCTAGCCTCGACCTCTGCTGCTGGTCCACGTAGGTGGTGCTCGCTCAGCGCGATGATGTCGTACTGCTTGCTCTTGCCCTCGATGAAAAGTTTGGCGGCCGTGTTGTACTGCGTAACGTTGGCCACGAAGATGGTGACGATGGGCTTCGCATCGTCTGAATTGGTCTGCTGGTTCTTGCCTTCGGTCTGGAGCTTGATGCCAGTACCTTGCGAACCTGCACGGACTGGCTCTGCCGACGGGCTTGAACAAGTAGACGATTCCCGAGAAGAAACTGACGTCGCGCTTCCATTATCATCATCTGCCCGAGTAGACGCACTCTCGATGATGTAGTCAGCGTCGTCGTCAAACCAGACCTGCTTCTGGTACGGCGGCCTGGCGAACCCGCTTGGTCCTCGATGGGGCTCTGCTGCGAGTGGGGATTTGCCGTGCTGGACAGCAAACGTGGGCGCTCTGGGCTCGCCCCCCTTCGCAGCAGAGGCTAATAATAAGAAGCCGTCGATCTCGGCTTCAACGTCGTCGTGCTTCTGGCTGTAGTTAGAAGCCCTGCCGCGTAGCAACCATGACCTTCGTCCTGCTCTTGATCTGGGCCAGCTTCGCGGGGTAGGCCTGGACCTGGGCGTCATCTGAGA